GGCAATAAAGTCTGATTGGCAAGATTTGTGCCGGCGAAACGGAAAAGTACCAAAAAAAAAAGCTCAATTTTCATTTTGATTGCTTTATTAAACACTTCTTTCAAATACTGTTTCATTTTTCCATGTTAATGCTTTCTCTTTATTTTTACTGTCCGGCATAATTTCCTGTTCATTTACAAAGCTTTATCAATCAAGTCTATAACTACCGTGTTGAGGATTTCCACTAATAATTTATCACTTTCTTCAGTATTTGTAGAGATATTTGCTGGATTTAGAAACAAACTACAGATTTTGTCGACTGTTAGTTAATTGATTATTGAAGCACTATCATCGCAATGGAAAACTTTTGTTGTATCACCTTCAATTATTACTACTTCTCCATATTTTTTCTCAAATTTTGTTAATCCCCAAAATTTTACATTTTGTTTGCCACATCAAGAAATCTACTAATTTGCAGCTACCATTATAAAGCTTAGCTAGCATCTGCTGTACACTACTGGAGATGTATCAGGACACTAGCGACTAAAGCCCTGTTGTTTCACTATATATTATCTGGTGAGGAAGTTAAGCTTTAATTATATAACTTTAGTTGTTTATTGTACTTACATCTATCCACTGCACATGCTTAAAGTTTATCCGAGTTCCTTATAAATAAACTCCATGCATTTGCTTAAGGCTTACCAAGAATCAGTCCAACATATTTTGCCGTTTGGTGCCCATCTCTGAGCGTCCTAAATTCTAAAAATTTTGCATCCTAGCACCTTCCCAATATTCTAAACATTTTGTGATCCCTTAATTTTATTGCTTGGTGCTTCTCCAAATTCTGCATATTTTGCTGCCCGGTGTAATCGCACCAGCCCTGGGCTTATCTGAATAATAAACCAGTTATTATTAATTCAAACAGCATTAAATTTATAAAAATAAATAAATAAAATATACAATCTAGCCAAAAGTAATACAGAACTGTAATAATAGGTAATAAAAGCTAAAGTAAAAATCAAGTAAATAACATTTTACGATCTATAAATGTCACTGACAATATGGTACAGTCTGAAACATGGTAACACATAGCAGCACAACACAGTCTGGACAATAATACTGCCATTACTGCTTGACGGTAATTACTTTGAGCGGGTAATTACAAAAGCTGCGTGGAGCCCTTTTACAGCTAAGAAAACATGTACACAGCAAAGTGTCGATTGTCAAGCGATATTACGGGCGATGGCATTCGTAATATTTTACGAATCGCCATCGCCCATAATATTGGTGATAGCGATCCGTAAAATCTTCAACCTCCAAGTTAACTCGTTTATGGGAAAATCGAAATAGCATCTATTTCTGAGGGTTCAACTCTGATATACGCCCTAATTTCACCAAATGTGGCGATATGTGTTATGCGCTGGTTTTTGGCGCGATTGCGTGTTGTATGGCAACCCTATTGACGTTGAAAAATCTTTCGCTGGAGTTCGTTGGTTCCCGTCATGCTTTGTGTCTGAGAAGCTAGGGGGAGGGAAAGATTTAATGGTGAAAATTGTTGAATTGAAGTTCGGCATAAGGAAATATTGTCGTGGCCATCCTGTTGAGAGGCAACGGGTATTTGGAGGTGTGGAAAGAAGGCATGGGAGATTATTTTTAGTGGCTGCGCGTGACAGAAGTAGGGATTTGTGATTATTTGTTATTTTTATTTGTGAACCATACTATGAATTTTTTGGATAGTGTGTCTGGCTGTCATATAAATATGATAGTGATTATGTGGCGGTATGAAATTGGTATTTCTGTTGTTCAAAAAAACATTAATGGTAAGTGCATTTTATTTTATTCTTGTTCTTATTTTGTAGAATGTTATGTTCATTGTTTTTTTAGTGCGAATTTCTGTCATTATTGTTGTGTTTTTGAATTGTTTAAAATTAATTTTAGTTATTTTGTTGGTTAGTGCGTAGCGTCTAAATTGTGCAATTCGTAGATGTTTTTTAAAGTTGAAACAGAACGCTGCGTACATGGTATTTTTTTAAATTTATTGTTATGTTAATTTATTAAAGCGAGGTGTGCGTAGTTTGTAAATTCGTTCGTTTCCTAGATGGTGCCATTCGTAGATTTTTTTTAAGTTAAAACATATCGCTGTGTACATGGACTCTTGTCAAATAATTTTGGTTAGAAACTTTACGGTTTTGCTATCTAAATTTTTTTGTTTTTGTTTCGGATTTTTAGCTTAAATTGTGTGTTCAAAACGTGGTTTTTGCATTCGCGAAAACCGTGTTTTTGGAGACATTTTAGGCTTAAAATTCGAAATGTAGACAAAAACTTTAGATAGCAATATGGCAGCGTAGAGTTTCTCGCCAAAAATATTTGGCACCTTGAGGGCGCATATCAGAGTAGTTCCTTTCTGAGATATCTCGGGAACAGTCATTAAGCAGTTAAATTTCTCTTCGTCAACACACTCAACACTTTGCAGTGCAGTTGGCAGAACTCTGTAATTATCAGCAAATGTAATGTCAAAATGGAAGATTTCCCCACTGTTTAGTATTCAATTACTAATATTTAAAAGAAAAAATTATTTTAGACATTGCTGCATGAATTAGTTCTCAAGCTGCCATGTGCTGATTGTCATGCAGGGGTAGCTAAAGGGGGGCATCTATCCTCAGGCGCAGAATCCAAGGCGCGCCAAACTGATGTTACGACATTTTAGAATTAAATGTTTTCCATCCTTGGCAACCAGTAGGGGGCACGAAATCTTCAGTTGACCCTGGGCGCTGAAAACCCTAGCTACGACTCTGTTGTCATGTCGCGATAAAAACAAAAGAGTAATAAATAACGATTTGCCAGGTTGACGTCAGGGATATAAGTTATTCAGTAAGTTGAAATCAGCAATGCTTAGATGTATAATGTTTCGGTTTGAGATATATGCCAAGCAAAAACACCGCTGCAAAGCCAATTGATCATATAGATTTACATTAACAAATAATTGTTTTCAACATGAAGTTCTTTTATTTAGTGGCAAAGTGAAATTAAGAATCAGGAGTCTATGTGTTTTATTACAAAAAAATATCAAATGAGCATACATAAAGCATTAAACACATTTTTTTTTTTTTTAAGGTTGCTTTGGAAGGTCCAGATTTTATATCTTTAAAATATATATATATAAATTTATATATATAGTAAATTTGAGTAAAATTGTAACTATAAAGCATGCTTAAAGATAAATTCAACAGATGAACAATAGGAACACATTCTTCAACTTGCTAGATTATATACACATAGAGAGCCAAAACTTAGTGATCAGACATCTGACATGAATTTATGATTGACAGTCATTTAATCATTCTATGACTCAAACTGCTATTCGGGATGCGTCACGGAGAGCAATCAATACTATAAATAAATAAGGGAGAATTAACAAGCCTCACAAAAGAACTTAAGCTATGTTCTTAATTTCAGAAAGATAATCAGCATATATAAGTTCGCATATCATCTCGGGTGACAGTAGATGAAATGCATATTTTGACTATAAAAAGGATTGTGCATATAATTAGATCAATATTTCTATTTTTTGGTTTGGTTATCTAGACAGTTGAAAGGAAGCATACCACAGGTTTTATAATAATATGTAGGATTAAATATTTTGTTAATGCCACACCTTCCAAAAATTATTTTGTCAGCATAGGAGAAAAAAACATTAATAATTTTAATAGACAACTGATTTAAAAAAAGGATGTTAACTCTTTGTTTATACTTAAAATATAATTTTTTTGGAAGCATTCAGACAACAGAATTTGGTAATGTTTAATAAATTCAGAAAAATTCTTCCTGAAATCTTTTCATGTCGAAAATTCAAACTGATGCTTTAACTGCTATAAAAATTAAAGCACATAATTATTATAAAAACAAAACATAACTGTTAGTAAACATTTTTACAGTTAAGGAAATCTATTATTTTAAATTAAATTCCAAGCATCAGTTGCAGGTAATTTTATAAATCCTTGAGTTTCTTTTCATTACATCTCAAAAGTTTTTATTCCAACAAAAAGTGACCAAAGAATAAAGTAATTTCATGATGAATAAGTATCGATGTACATGCACATACGCTGTAAAATAAAATCATATTCAGTTATTCTACAACAAGATGCATTCACAAATATTTTTTCTCTCATAATTCGTAAAAGTACTAAATCTAAGCTTATGCTGGATTTAAAAAATTAGAAGGAAAAAAAAATCTAATCACACTGATTTTTAAGTACTGAATTTATTATACTGATAAATATTATGTTAAGTAATTAATGTAAAAGATTTATTTACAAGTTATGCAGATAAACAGAATAAATTAATTACTGCATACATATTCATATTATCAGATTCTGAACTTATTGCATGAAATTTTAAGATATCTAAATAGCAAATTTCTATTTTCCATTTGACAGACAATACACACATTTTTACCATCTAAACATTACACTACTTTATCCGATGATAGACATATTTTTACAACCGAAACATTTATTACACTACTGTATACTAATTTATACAAGATGCATTCACAAAAATATTAGCGAATGCATCTTGTTCTAGAACACCTAAATATACTTTAATTTTACTATTGATTTTACTATGCTGTTCATGTCATGATACTTATTTAACTGTCATATGTAGAGTACAGAAATACAACACATCAATATATGCAATTCACACCTAAAATTACACTTCTCCAAATACAATGCGTCTTCATTAGACATATAAACTACGCAATCTATCTAAATACAACAGCCAGTATTTCATATTCTGTTTAGCGGTTATACGTACAAACTACAGCCAGTAAGTACTAAAACAAATCGTTTAAACAATGCCAAATATAAATTTTATAGAAAGCGGTTCAAAAGAAAGCTGAACTGTCAAACTTCGACTACAATAAACTAATGTTACTACAAGGTTTATATGTTACTTTATCATAAGCGTTGTCTGAAAAATTAAACATGATAAAATTTCTAAGTTTTTATTATTTAACTAACTTTTTGCAGCTGCCAAAAGATCTTTGACCTCTTTGATTAAACCTTTGATGGCTTGACTTGTTCTTTCTAGCTCTTTTTCATGGGCGCGCAGATTTTCTCTATAATGAGGTGTATCTGTTAAACAGTCTGTATATTCTAAAGGCAACAAACCCATATTGAATATAATTTATAATAATAATCAGTCTGAAAGAAATACACGCAATGACACATGAATCATGCGTTATCACAGCAGGAAACTGACCGCCCCAAAGCAACGTACTACTTGCCGTTCCTTAAAATTTGTCAACAATTTAGCATGCTATTGCCAGATTGTATTTGCAAGATTTCTATCAAAGAAAGTCAATACATATTCTTTGATTTCTATATGGCAACACGACTTTTGAAGATTAATTCGCAAACTGATAAATTTCATGAATGAATAAATTTTCTGATATCCCTTAAGTATAATTTGAAAAATATGTATTATGTGAAATAATATGCCGATAAATATTATTGCATTTATTTGCACTTATATAATTTGTTTTATTATATAATTTCATTTATTTGTATTTTTTTGTCAACAAATATAAACTGACCGTACGTACCGTTAATATAAAGTGACCATACGTACCCTTTAACGGAACAGTCTGTTTCTTACAAGGAGGTTAGAATAGAAGGCGGGAAGGTTCAACTTAAACGGTGAAGCGTGGCGGCCATCTTCCTGTTATCACCGTGACTTGTGCAAGGAAGTCTGTCATTGCAACATTTTTTTCTTTTCTTTTTGAAGCATGTCAGCTTGTGTTGCATATGGATGCACAAATAGATTCTCGAAAAAAATTCCGGGCATTACTTTTCACACGTAAGTATTGATTTTCTTTTTTTATGTAATATGGCAACTATGTTAAAAAATATCACAATGTCATGTTGTTTTCTTTCCAGATGTGAAAAAAAGGACTTAAATAATCAAAACATGTTATGTAATATAACTACAATCAAAAAAATGTTAAATATATTTTAATGTTTCTGTTTATAGCTGGTATCTTCGTTCCTTAAGATACAATGATATATGGTAGGATTTAAATTGTATAATTTGAATGTTTTAGGTAATTCCTTTTATAACTTTCATGAAAAGTAAGAAATCAATTGTTACTATTTTTATTAATTGTAAAGGTGTTAAGTAAAGCAATGCTTTTCTTTATATATTAATTATTATTATTCATTTTTTTAAGTTAAGAAACTGTTCTGTTGTTAAAAATTTTTTGCATAAACTTACAAATTTCTGGGCAGTATAGTGATAAAATTAAGTAAAATATTTACACAATTGAACATGTGGAAAATGAAAATGTATCCAAAAACTTGTATAGGTATATTCTGTAATTCAGCTTAATTAAAGGCAGTTTCTTTGAGATTAATAAATATGAAATGCGCATAAACTGAAATCATTGAATTCACATAAATCTGTTTTATTTTATTAAGTTTATTTTCTTGTGAAAGGTTGTTGAAAAGGATCTTCTATTTAAAATTTTCATTTAAAAAAAATGCAACCTGTGACTATTTTTTTAGATAATTATCTGCTATTAATTTTAGGTTTCCTAAAAATGCAGAACGAAGAGCAGCTTGGATACGAGAGCTGTTCGAAGAGAGAAATTGGATGCCAACTTCCTATTCACGACTTTGTTCGGATCATTTTTCTGAGGATCAGATTGACAGAACTTCATTATGCTGTGTAAGACTGAGAGAAAAATGCTGTGCCTAATATCTTCAAAGCATTTCCACTTCACCTGCAGAAGGTACATTATTCTGTTATTATTACATAGAATAAGGAATTAAATAAGAATTTGTGTACATGTTTATCTCTGAAATGATATTTGCAAAAGATCAAATACTTCTAGTAGCCTGATTTCAGTAAAAACTAGTAAAATGATATTGGTCTAATGAAACTTGCAATGGCATAACATGCAAACTTATCATATGTGGTTATATGTGTCATTGTGGTAATGATTTCCAAAATATCTTTCATTCAGACTTAATGAAAAGATAATGTTACTTTAATTTAAAGAATATTTCAGTAAATTTAGAAAGCATTATTTCAAAACAAAAATAAATTGACATTAAATCATTGTTTGGAAAATGAATTATCTTATTTTTAGTTAGTGTTAATTTTCATGAAATTTTTAAACATAATATCATTTTGCATGTTAATTAGACTATATAAATATTAAAAGACACTTATAAAAAGTTTATTAGAAGAAGTAAATCTGCATTAGTCATGCTTTAATAAATATCTTTTTTTTTTTTTTTTTTTTTTTTTTCCAGACCAAAAAAACACGAAAAGTTCCTGCAGAACGTCTTCTTGAGGATAAAAAGAAAGAGGTAAGTTAGTTTTGAATTTAATGTTACCAGCAGCAGTTCTTTTGTTTTCTTGATAAAATGTATTTGAAAGTAAAAAAATTTTTGTATTCAAAGAGAATAAAGCAACTTTTTGCGTGAGAATTATCATAATAAGAAATGTTTAGAATCAACAATAACCTGTCCCTTAACCAACAGAAATTTTTTCTTTTTTGATTTGCTACTTTTGGATATAACGTTGTGCTTTATGCAAGAATTTCTCTTCTAAAGCTTGAATAAAGTTAAAAGCTTAATGCAAATAATTGCTGGAAAAATTGGTCATGACTATTTTAGACGAGGACAGTTTTTTAATAAGAAAAATGAAAGAATTAATGCTTTCTGGGGAGTTGGCCATTTGTCTGAAGCTTAAAAAAGACAAATAACAGATTTCTTCTTGACAAAAAACTGAAAATGTTCTATAAATTTTATTATTTTACCAATTTAAACAGTGCCATTCCTGAAATGAAGCTTCGGCAACAGTCGCCAATTATTACTGATTAATTCTAAAGGACACATTCATCTGTAATGGGCACTGAATCATACTGTTTTACCAGTCAACTGAATAATATTCAAATAAAAAATAATAATAAAAAATCTGATATTCATTCAGAACACATACATTCATACAGATTCTTTATTATTTAATTTCTTTAAATATAATACAGGGCGATAATATTTGGTGGCAACTATTTGAAAAGTGATTCACAGTTTATAGTTTTCAACGCAAAATGGCAAAATGAAATTAATAGTCCTTTAGGGCAAATTGCCCCTTTGGACTAATAAAGAATGAATGATACTATTAAAATGAAAGCAGGAATACCTTTTGTTATTTCTATGTAATTATTTTATTTGTTATACATCTGATTGATTTGTTTTTTTTTTTTCTTTCTTTTAAGGAGCCTGTATTATGTGAACCACAAACTAGTGCAACATCTGTTGAATATTCTCCATGCAAGCAACAGCTGAAGCGAAAGCTGCATAAAGCTGAAGAATTAAATAGTGTCTACAGAAAGAAAATTAAGCTGTTGCAACAAACTGCACGTAGACAGAAAAGGACTATCTGCAATTTGAAAACTGTATTAAAAGATTTAAAAAAGAGCAGGATAATAAATGATGATTATCTGGACATTTTAAGAAAATCAATTCCTGTTAATGAAGAACTTCTTTTACGGGAATTAGCAACGTGTGGGAAAGGCCAGTTACCAAAACATTACAGTAAAGAATTAAAGGCTTTTGCTTTAACTCTTCATTTTTATTCACCTAAAGCATACAAATATGTTAGAAAAAAACATTCAATTCATGTTTGCCACATACCAAGACTCTAGCAAACTGGTACAAATCTATAAATGCAGCACCTGGTTTTACAACTGAATCTTTGAATGCATTAGATAATAAACTTAAGAGTACTTCATACCAATTGCTTTTTTCATTGATCATTGATGAAATGGCCATACGTAAACATGTTGAATTTGATGGCCAAATTTATCATGGATACGTTAATACAGGTATACAGAATGATGATGATTCCCTTCCACTAGCTAGAGAGGCATTAGTGTTTATGCTAGTGTGTATCAATGGTAACTTTAAAATCCCAGTTGGATATTTTTTAATTGATGGCATTAGTAGTGAAACTAAAGCAAACCTTGTGCTTCAGTGTTTAACTGTATTACACAATGTTAACATAAAAGTTGTATCATTAACATGTGATGGTTTATCTTCGAATTTGAATATGCTAAAACATTTAGGTTGCAGATTTGACAGTTCAGATTTCAATACTATATTTAAGCATCCTGTTAACGGGGATGATATTGTAGCTTTTTTAGATCCTTGCCATATGCTCAAATTAGTCCGCAATACCTTGGGAGATAAAAAATGCATTGTTGATGAAAATGAAGGCCTTATTGACTGGAAATATATTACAGCATTACAAGAATTACAAGAGACAGAAGGACTTCATCTAGGTAACAAACTGAAAAAGCAACATGTCAGATTCTTTCGGCAAAAAATGAAAGTTTCTCTTGCAGCGCAGCTTTTTAGCAAATCTGTTGCTGATGCCATTCAGTTTTGTGCTGAGGTTTTAGATTTAGATACATTCAAAAATTCAACAGCAACAGTTGAATTCTTAAGAAAAATTAATGATTTATTTGACATTCTCAATTCAAGAAATTTAAAGCAGACAGGATTTAAAAAAGCTGTGAATATACATAACAGCAGTTTTATTCTCAAAGCTCTTAATGACTTGGAAAGGTATTTAAGCAACTTGAAAATTAGTGTAAATGGAATGAAAATTGAATGAATAAAATGAATGAAAGTTACTGAATCTAATAGAAAAACTGGCTTTCTAGGTTTTTTGGTATGTATTAAGAGTTATAAAATATTAATACAAAAGCTGGTAACTTCAAATCAACCCTTATTAATATACTTACCATCATATAAATTTAGCCAAGATCACATTGAAATGTTTTTCCAAATGATTCGTATGCAGGGAGGATGCAATAATAACCCTACTTCATATCAATTTAAAACTGCATATAAAAGACTACTCGCACAAACTCAAATAAGTGATTTTATCAATGGCAATTGCAGTCCACAAGAAAATATAAGCATTCTGACTGCAACCAGTACGACTGCATCTGAGAAAATAATAAATATGACAACTGACAGGTTAAGAGCTATGGATGAAACAACAAATATATCTTGGGATACTGTCAATTCAGATCATGATTACGTGTTTAATCCAGCAATATTAACCAGATGTTCGGAGCATATTGTTTATTACATAGCTGGTTTTGTTGTTAGGAAATTATCTTCAAATATTAAATGCGAGATGTGTTTAAATGCACTTACATAAAAAAAAACCTATTTTACAGCATTCGCTTGTATCATTTAAAAGCAGGGGCAAATTAATTCATGCATCCCATG